TATTCAAGGGCAATATCTAGATATTGCCCTGAAACGTCGATATAAAGCACTTGAATACACAATGAGCTGTGGAATAAGCTAGATACAACACTATGAATAACAAAGAAAACTGAATCAAGTATGAAATAAGCGTAAATATTGTACACTTCAAGAAACTGTCTTTCGAACATTTCGAGGTCGATGTTACTAAACGATGCCTAATTATATTACTACATGTGTACATTTACCATTTACTTCATGACCTGCGTTGAATCTTGACCAGCACTCAGCAAAAACTGGAATAGTAGTTGCGTATATAAACCACTGCAGCCTCCAGTTGTAAACACAAAGTCATTAATATCAACATTTCTTAAATAATATTTTAAACGGTCCCAATCAGTCCAATAACGCCAGTGTTTTTCCTCGTTGTAGGTTACACTATTTATGAGTGTTCTTGAGTCATGACAGAACATTTCAGGGTCAAAAACAGCCAAAAMBAKTTTTGGAAATWGTCCTTCGTGTCGTTGTAATTTCTCGCTTGAAGTGAATTTCAATGAATTTTCAACAGACTGGCGCATGCGCACGCCAAACGGCCCCTTGTTGACCGTTGTTATGGATACCACGCGTATATCTAAAATTCAACTTCTGGTTCGCACGATTCTATAAATACAGGTTAAAATAGCTACTGTTAGTAGCTATGTTCGTAAAATGCCAGGTATAAATTGCTATCCTGTAGTTTAAACTGAGTGAATGTCAAGGTGCCAATGCAACCCAATGTCGCTTGTTGTGATTTTGCTCTAAACTTAAAATTATTCACGACTATTTCCAGAGATTACCTAAGTCTACCGTGTTTATATTCTAATAAATAATGCATGCATGTATTTTGAGTCATAATCTAACGACTTCCGTATTTGTCTTTATAGAATCCATGCCAAGAAACGCCCTGTCGTAATGGTGGCAAGTGCGTTTTGCAGGAGAACAGGCAGCATTATCACTGCGAATGCAACAAGGGATTTGGCGGAGAGAACTGCGAAAAGGGTACTGAAATTTAAAATATTTGTTTGAAAGTCTCTTGTTGTCTTGCTCTTAAAATTGAAGACTTTCAAAATTCAGTGGTTCACGGTCATAAACGGTCACACAATTCTATACGGTTACGCAATACTTTACGGTCACACAAGACCATACAGTCACACAAGACCATACAGTCACACAATACTATACGGTCACATAATACTATACGGTCACATAATACTATACGGTCACACAATACCATACGGTCACACAATACTATACGTCTACACAATACTATACGGTGACAAAATACCATACGGTCACACAATACTATACGTTTACACAATACTATACGGTCACACAATACTATACGGTCACAAAATACCATACGGTCACACAATACTATACGGTCACACAATACTATACGGTCACAAAATACCATACGGTCACACAATACTATACGGTCACACAATACTATACGTTCACACAATACTATACGGTCACATAATACTATACGCTCACACAATACTATACGGTCACACAATGCTATACGGTCACATAATACTATACGGTCACACAATACTATACGGTCACACAGTACTATACGGTCACACAATACGCGTTATTCCCGTTCAAAGCAAGTGACCGAAGATTTAGTTGACAGCAGCAGTCTCTCAGCACGCTAATTTTTGATCGATTTTTATCGTCACACTAGTTCATGGAAATTGGTCGACCTGGACACCATGGGAACGTTGTTCAGTCAAGTGTGGTGGAGGCGGCCAATTTCGATCAAGAACATGTACAAATCCTGCGCCAGCCAATGGTGGTGAAAATTGCACTGGGAATGACAAAGAATCAAGGAAATGCAATACAAACAAATGCTGGGGTTAGTCCCTCATTTCATGATATAACGGCACCAATTCTATTCAATGGAAAGTTTTCCGGTTACAAAATTCAGCGAGAATTAACACCGCGAATTAATTGAAGATAATGATGACAATCGAGCTTTTGCACTTGTAATTCTAGTTAGAAAATAGCTAAAATTGAATACATTTGACTTGTAAGTAGAATATAAGTTACACTGAAAGCGTGCAGCATGCCCTTTGCACTATTTACTACAAGATAGTGCTAATTAAACAATAGAAAACAATAGAATTAGCAGTATTTAGTGATATTTATGTTGTACTTTAATAGTGACAAATAAATCATCGGTTGTCACACTTTGAGCTTTGCGCTGTAGTAACCTTGTAAATCCTGTAGAGTGATCGCACTTAAAGCGTGCAACTGTACAAAATCTAAGTAGTATTAATTTGTACTAAAAGTGGACCTGAAGCAAGACGGTATTGAATGCTTCATTTGTATCAATTTAATTTGCGTACCGCATGCACGATTTACTAAATACAACTAAATAGAACTATTTAGTTTGTACAGTTGCACGGATAAAGTACGATCACTCTAATGACTAATAAAATTTACTTTCCTATTTTTAGCAAAGAATTGTGTTGAAGTGTTTCAAAATGGTTACAAGCAAAGTGGATGGTACAATGTGTATCCCGACAGTAATGGTGGTTTTCAGGTATCGATCGCGTACTGTATTCAAACGCTCCATGACATGGAATCCGGACTCGACAAAAGTATGGCTTTGGAAATCGGAAACAAAATTAATGACTTAAAATGTTTCCTTATTGTGAACGAGTCACTAAAGAGGTAAAAATGTGATTTTTGGCCGATTCTGGCTGATCCAATATGATAAAATATCCAAAATCCTTGCGACATTTTTCATGGAATCCGGAATCCAGGAGCTTGGAATCCGGATCCTACGAACACTCCGGATTCCGCGTCGTGGTAGGAATTGCACCGTATCATGAAAAAAAACTTGGAAGGTACCCGCGCGACAAAATAACTGTCCGACTGTTGGAATGTTTGACTTGTTAGCATTTTTCCAAGCTGCAATGCTTTTTCCAGGTTTACTGTGACCAGAAGACTGCAGGGGGAGGATGGACAGTCTTTCAGAGAAGAAAAAACGGTTCGGTTGACTTTTACCGAGGATGGGTCGACTATAAGAATTGGTTTGGAGATCTTAAAGGTGAGTTCTGGCTTGGTCTTGACAAGATCAACCGACTGACCCAAGCAATACCAAACCGTCTGCGTGTTGACTTAGAAGATAAACAAGGAAAACGTACTTATGCCGAGTACGACAAGTTCGCAGTGTCTGGAGAATCAAACAAGTACAAGCTGAGCGTTGCATCATACTCAGGTACGCAGCTTAAACGGCTTGATTTAGATTAATTGAACGATTAATTAGCAAAATTTCCCCATAAAATTCAAAAGATAAAAGACCGGCGGCCATTTTGGAGGAATGAACAATAGATACTCATGAGAAATCCATTGTTGAAGTTCCTCCAAGATGGCCGCTGTGACGCATAGTGAAAACGAAGAAAACATAACTAAAATGTGAAATGCCTGAAATGCCAAGGGAAGAGTTGCTGTTGTTTTATAAAAAATATATAAGATATTCTCCGTGTTTTCATTCTCTGTTACAAAAACTTGGGATTGTTGAGAGATCACTCGAAAAGGCTTCGAATCACAAACTGAAAGCCAGCTATCGATTCAAAACCTAGAAACCTTTTCAAGTGTTCTCTCACAAGAATGCATTTGAAACCACGGAGAAATTTATTTTACAATGCTGATGATTTAACATGATATGAAACGAATTCGAATACAATGACAATTAATTACAATAAATAATATTGCAGCTGCAAACGTTGTAGCTACAGCGACAGCTATGCTTATCACCTAACTGAAAACCGTTCTTGGGCTCAAAACAGCTTCATGGGTGGCATGTGTAGCCTAGTGGTTAAGCTGCTGGCCTCTCACCGCTGTGGTCCGGGTTCAATTCCCGGGAACGGACCATATTTGAATTTGAGTTTGTTTGATGTGTTGTTCTCTCCCTTTCCACTAAAGGTTTTCTCCAGGCCCTCCGGTTTTCCTCCCTCAGCAAAAATCAATAACAGGAGTGTTGTGTGATAAAATACTCAATAGTAGTGAGTGTGAGGGCACAGTGTCCCCCAATTAGCACGAGAAGTGCTAGAACGCCATAGACACTTAAATGAAAAAATAGTTATTTCATCACTGATATGCTAAAAACAATAGTGATATTTATACAACTCATAAACTATGGCGGCGTCACGATAACCACGCCCTTTCATATCGTCTATAATTAGGGAGTGCTCGTTTTCCATTTTAGGTACAGCTGGTGATCTAATTACATATCATAACGACATGAAATTCACAACCAAAGATAGTGACAACGATGAATATGGCGGCAACAACTGTGCTATAGTTTACGAAGGGGCCTGGTGGTACAAGGCTTGCTATCACTCAAACCTTAACGGCAAATACTTTTTAAAGGGCACTAATGATGGCACCTTCTATGGGAGTAGTTCTCTCAGAGGATCTGAAATGAAAATAAAACCAGTGTAACCTGTAGAGGATGGAATTATCGGCTATATATTGTCCAACGGCAACGTTTCACATAGTTTTTTAGGAAACAACATTTATATCTGTTGTTCACGGCAAATAGAATGCTACTAGTTGCACCTTTGCATAATTTTGTTCAGAAGTACTATCAGTCATGCTAGTATTTTTAACTTTTTTCAGTATTGAATAAGTCATAATGTGGAGGGTATAGCTGAGCTATTTTTCAGAGTCCCTCGCAACTCCCCGGTACACGTATATATCTTGTAATGTTTACTTATGCATGCAGTAAACAACCTATTACTAAAACTTAAACCAACAAGGGGAGACTAAGTACAACGTTTAAAGTATTTGGTTTTCAATGCGCATATCCATGCATATCTATAAGTCTTATTTTAGGCATTGTGTCAAAGCTATATTCAGCACAGAAAAAAGTCAACAATTGTACTTAACTATTATATTCCTCAGAAGAATAGACGGGGAAGGGAAGAGAATGGAAGCTTCAGTTGCCAGTGAAGAAAATTCTTGTGGAGACGAAATCTTCCATCACTTCCCCCATCTTCAATTGTCGCCTATCGTCCAAAAAGAAAAATCGCTTATATATGAGCATGTATCAGCTATTGTAATTAATATCACTATAAGTTACTGAATAAGACATATCTTCTGTGTAGGTTAAAAATCTAAACATCTTGAAATTCAGTCTTTATTTTCTACTGTAGAAGAACGCTCGTGAACGCTGTCAGTCATCATGTAAATATTCTAAACAGGTTCACTAAACAAATACATACATATACACTTAATAAGGTTACAAAGGAAGAAATTAAAACGCGATTTACGCTTACCGAAATGTGTCCTTCCATTAACTCGAACGAACTGATCGCTAATGCGACCACGCTTACATGACGTCATCTTATTAATATTAACAATATGCTAATTATATGATTATCGTCGCGTACATCAGCCGGCACCAAATGAGAGTATACATAAATACCTCATTTCTACATGAACTTAAACTTAACGCGACTACTACTTTAAAATACAGTAATAAATGTCAAATACTAGAGTCATTGAGGTTGCCCTCCAACAAGCAAAGTTTGTTCACAGGTCGGGTAAGAATGCTTGACTTTGTCTTGATCTTGACGGATCGCACTCTTTAGCCTTGTAAATCTCCAAAACGCGGGCGAGAGGCCAGGATCCTCTCGAGACATTCTGGTCTGAACTTCTGACGTGGCTTTTCGTTCTTAGTAGAATCCTTATTGTCCATGATGTCGCCGAAGACGGGATCATTTGCCGCCATAGCCTTCTCAGTAATGAATTGCGACATTTGTCCGATGTTGGGCTTTCCTCCGCCATTTCTTATTACTCGCGCTATGTCGAGCCATCTGGCTTTCAGATGGGTTGGGAAGCGTTCGGTGATTTGCTTCAAGTTGTCTGTAGTGTTCAGATCCTCAAGGTAACCTATCGACTGGAGCGTGAGTTCACAGTCCTTCAATTTGTCGGCCAGATTTAACAGACCTTCGCGATCTGATGCCTTTAACGGTGGACCTTTAGTTATTTGTTCAATGTGGGCATTGGCTATTACATACGGTTCTCCAAAACGTTCCTTTAAAAGTTTTCGCGCTGTCACGTAGCCAAGAGATGGCTCCATCACAACACAGTTTCTGACTACCTCTTTMGCCTTTCCCACACAATACTGCAGGAGGTAGTTAAGCTTGTCTCCTTCATCATTAGACTTTTCTTCAATGTTTCTRTCAAAGTTGTGTATAAATCTCCAATAATTTAAGGGATTACCATCAAAAGTAAATAACTCGGGTTTYGGTAATCTCAGGGYATTGGCCATAGTTGACATAATCCTTTCTTGATGTTTGACAATTTCGTCGTACACTCCACTCTCATTCTGAAATTGGCCAGGTGTACTCTTGGTATTTGGGTCTACAATGTTTCGTTTCCTTACGGGTGAATTCATTTCGAGCCATTCCTGCGGTGACGGTTTTGAGGGCGTGTCCATATGGRTATACGTCATAGGCGTAGGACAATTAAAGTTCCTTKTAGCATCGACACTTGCCTCCCTTACAGGAGACCAAAATGGGTTATTCAGCGACATGCTTTTATTAACAATTCTCGTTGATTCTTTAGGCGTATACTTCTTATTCTGAGGCGTGACGAAGATAAGTTCTTGAGTAAGCTTATTATCATGGAAGGGATTGCCATGATATCGTTGTGTTATTCTATTGAATCCTTGCGGTTCCAATAGATCGTGTTCCTCCGCATCGTGAGTAGGTTTATTATCATGGAAGGGATTGCCATGATATCGTTGTGGTATTCCATTGAATCCTTGCAGTTCCAATAGATCGTGTTCCTCCGCATCGTGTAACTTAAATGATTCATGTAATTCAGTTTTCTCGCGAGATTTAACTTCATGATGCAATTCAGGGTTTGTAGAGCTCTTTTTGACATACGAGTCAATGTTCCTTTTAGTCTGCAATTCTTTTACGGCCGATTCTTTTTCTAAGGTTTCGTCGTTGTTCAAGGTTTCTAAGGTTTCTAAGGTTTCATTTCGAAATTCGGATCTTTCATAAACTTCATATTCCGCATTTCGTATCTGTACTTCATGTCGTGCATCCAAGAATGCTTGTTTTCGTTTCATCTTATTGAGCTTCATAGCTTCATCTAATTTCATCGTTATTTCTACTTCGTCATTTTATCCTGTAACGCCTGTTGCTCTTCAAGTTGTTTTAATTTAAGGAGAGCTACYKTGTGCTTAGCYTTCGCTCTCAGTTTCATTTTTGATGCTGTTGTTGATGCCTTTGAACTAACGTGACTTATAGAGTCATCCGCTTCTATTTGAGGCAGTTCTTTGTATTTAACTTTTATTCTTGCAATCCACGAGTTAACCATTTGTTCCATTTTTTGTCGAGTGTCACATTCAACACGATAAGCTTTCTGAGCGTCATCTTTTTCCTTGTCGTCGACTAAAAATTCCACATGTTCCGCGTGACACTCCTGATAGACTTCAAACGTCACCAAAATTTTATCCTTAATCTTCAGAACTACGTCGATAGCAGAATTATCACAAGAACGTTCCATGATATTTTGTACTTCATTATAACGTTTAGTTAGTTGTCCAACATATCCAGATTTCAATCGTTTTAACGTTAAAGCCTTTTCTCTTCTCGCTCCTTCCGAACACGCCATGTCGCTGGGCTTCCTGTGTTGTCTCGTTTCATGGCCGCCACCGTCGTCTGCCAGTCTGTCTCGTTGCTGAGGGATTTCGTGAACTAAATGTAGGTTAAAAATCTAAACATCTTGAAATTCAGTCTTTATTTTCTACTGTAGAAGAACGCTCGTGAACGCTGTCAGTCATCATGTAAATATTCTAAACAGGTTCACTAAACAAATACATACATATACACTTAATAAGGTTACAAAGGAAGAAATTAAAACGCGATTTACGCTTACCGAAATGTGTCCTTCCATTAACTCGAACGAACTGATCGCTAATGCGACCACGCTTACATGACGTCATCTTATTAATATTAACAATATGCTAATTATATGATTATCGTCGCGTACATCAGCCGGCACCAAATGAGAGTATACATAAATACCTCATTTCTACATGAACTTAAACTTAACGCGACTACTACTTTAAAATACAGTAATAAATGTCAAATACTAGAGTCATTGAGGTTGCCCTCCAACAAGCAAAGTTTGTTCACAGGTCGGGTAAGAATGCTTGACTTTGTCTTGATCTTGACGGATCGCACTCTTTAGCCTTGTAAATCTCCAAAACGCGGGCGAGAGGCCAGGATCCTCTCGAGACATTCTGGTCTGAACTTCTGACGTGGCTTTTCGTTCTTAGTAGAATCCTTATTGTCCATGATGTCGCCGAAGACGGGATCATTTGCCGCCATAGCCTTCTCAGTAATGAATTGCGACATTTGTCCGATGTTGGGCTTTCCTCCGCCATTTCTTATTACTCGCGCTATGTCGAGCCATCTGGCTTTCAGATGGGTTGGGAAGCGTTCGGTGATTTGCTTCAAGTTGTCTGTAGTGTTCAGATCCTCAAGGTAACCTATCGACTGGAGCGTGAGTTCACAGTCCTTCAATTTGTCGGCCAGATTTAACAGACCTTCGCGATCTGATGCCTTTAACGGTGGACCTTTAGTTATTTGTTCAATGTGGGCATTGGCTATTACATACGGTTCTCCAAAACGTTCCTTTAAAAGTTTTCGCGCTGTCACGTAGCCAAGAGATGGCTCCATCACAACACAGTTTCTGACTACCTCTTTCGCCTTTCCCACACAATACTGCAGGAGGTAGTTAAGCTTGTCTCCTTCATCATTAGACTTTTCTTCAATGTTTCTATCAAAGTTGTGTATAAATCTCCAATAATTTAAGGGATTACCATCAAAAGTAAATAACTCGGGTTT